TCTTGGCTTTGAACTACTAATTTTTCAACATTACTTTAAGTCAAAATAGCATCATATTTAACTCTAATTTTATTCTGATAATTGGCATTTTCTTCCCTCTCTTTAAAGATGGTTTTGCTGGGAGGATATATTCTCTCAATCTCTTCTATCAGACTAAATCTTCACAGAAGCCTTTTTGCTTCCAGCTCATTTCAAGCAATCCCAAAAATACGCATTTTGGATTATCACCATATTCTTGTATCAGTGAAGTAATTTTTAGTTTCTTCATACTACATCTACTGTGGCTACTGCATCTTTGGCGTGACTTACAGGACAGAGGGTTCTAAATAGGAATTACTTGTCTAAGTCTCCATTCTTGGAAACTGCCATTTCCTGAGAAGCACAACATGAATAAATTCACAGCTGCTCCAGAGAGCGATGTGAAACCAGTCCCAGGCTAAATCAAGAAATTGAGAATCCTATAGATCAGGGTGGATAGTGAGTATATAAAATTATTGCCTTCTTCACCAGCCACTGTGATGATGCTCTTCAAAACTTCTCCACTCAACTCCACATTTCCAGTAGTGGAATTGTATGTCTCAAAAGCAATCCCCATCAACTTGAGGGTGTACCTGGGAAGCACTGGCTGTACTCACAAAGCTTCGTATTTCAATAACATGTTGATCCATTCAGCAACTTAGAAGTATGGTATCATACAGCCAAGTCTAGCTCTTATCTAAAATCAATGTCTTAGTGAAAATAAAAGATGGCAAAAAGGAAGAGGAATATCTCTCTAGAATATTTTTAAACCTCATTGGAAACAAGGGAGTTCTATAAGTAAGGAAGTGAATATGTTGACACGCTACTTAAAGACATGATGAGAGAAATATATATTGATTGAATATAATAAGCATGGGTCTGAAATATAGCTGGCAAAACTTTTAAAGGCAGAGACAGAGCCTGATGCTTTAGGGGAAGCAAGACATTAATATATCATAACTGAATCTATTTAGAAAAACTACAGAATACTTAAGGTTATTAGAGTAATTACTGATTCCTATAATGGAAGAATAAGATTTTTTTTTGGTGAATATCATGTATTATAGCATGGTAGGCATTATATTTGGGAAAACAGCTGCAGAAGCTATTCTGTGATCAGACTTGGGGCCCAATACTTGGATGGCTGTATGAAGTGCTGTGATCTGCTGGTCAGACTAGATGACACTCATTTTTGTTTTAGCTAGAAAACCACTCCACACTGACACACATGCCCCAAAAAACAAAAACGAACAAACAAAAAACCCAAACCAAACAACTAACCAAAAAAAGGCTATCAGCAGCCATCTCAAAGCCAAAGTCTTCTGTTTTCTCTGGAATTTAAACAGTGTGAGAAATATTCCAAAAGTCTTAGAACATAAGTTTGTACTGGATAGAGGGGTAAATGAAGACAGGCATCTGGAAACAAGTATCTTTATTTGAGATAGGTAGATTTAAAAAGGATTCAAAAGAAATATTAAACAGTACACAGCTTGTTCTTTGCATAAGTTTTCTGAAAGGGAAAGAGCTGTTCTACAAAACAGGTTACTGCTGAGATGATAAAGGAAACTAGAGTCACAAAAAAAAATAAAACAAATGTATGATACTATTTCCGAGTTGAATATAGTTGTCAGTGCTTCAACATGGATCTCATTCTCAGGAAAGTACTTATCTCATGTTCTCCAGGTGTTATTATTTAAAAATCTGCCAAAACAAGCCTCTGCTAGGTCAATGTCACTACATTCCTCCTCAGCTTCCAAGGGAGCCATTTCTGTATGCCAAGAACCAAAGTACTGTGAACCACATACATCTGGAGACTTCCAGGAAAAGCATCAGCTTTACCACATATTTACTCAAAAGGTATTTATACTTTCAAAACAGCATTATCAATAGCTCTCTTCCCAGGTTTTTTTTTTAACACTGAGTGGGGTCAGAAGTCTCTCTCACAAGTAGAAATGCCCAATCAGAAACATACCATGCTTTTTGCAGAAGAAATAGTTGTATCTATCACATATGTTTCTCACAAATCATAGAGTCCTGATACCTCTCTTTGTTGAAGATTTCTTGCCATATTTACAGATACAAACCCAGATGACAAAGCAGAAACCGAAATAGCCTTAGATTTTCTAAATCCTATGAAGCATTGGGCCAAATGTATTTGCCAGTATATCATAAGAAAAAAAATATCCTTCTTCCTATACAGATATTTAACCACATTTTATACAGCACAGAAAACAGGAACTATTTGTCTAGTGGTTTGACACTACTTGATTTCTCTTTAAAGAACTTGATTCTGACTGTCTAAAAACAATCAAACAAACAAAAAAGCACCAAAACCAAACTCCAAAATCCAACAGCTTTCACTTTCAGAGAAGTCATTAGCCCTTCCGCTTTGTGAGGACAGCTTGAAAACATCTAAGCCAAAGTTCACTGACTGGCTACAGTCAAAGGGTACATAAAGCAAAATCACATACCAGGCAGTAAAGTAATTCATTCCTTCTTCTAAAAAACAGGCAGCTACCCATCTGAACAGACAGTTCGAAACGTACCTTATTTATTCCCCTAATGCAGAATCAGTGTAACATATTTTGTATGCCTGAAGTACGGGATGGTGGCCTTACCTAGAAGTTTTCCAACAGAATATTAAATAATGGAAGTCTGTCAAAACACAGAAAAAGCCCCAAGAGGGTTTGGGGGTGGGTTTTTTGGTTGTTGGTTTTGTTTTACTTTTTTTTTCTTTTCAAATTAAAAATGAATGTTGCATGTTTTTTCCACTAGTGAGTGTGGCTGTACATAAATGCATGCTATTAAGACATTTACACAAGTTACCATATACTCTGAAGAATGCACTCACATATATATATTTTAAAAAATGAAAAATAAAAAAATAATTGAGCTTAGTACAGCCTTCCAGCTTCAAGACAGGTCTGACTAGAGACCTGTCAAGAAAGAAGTTTACTTAACAAAACAGCTGTGAAATTTTGGTACCCTGTATGACAATAATTCAAGAGATTATCTTGTTAGACAGCAATACCTTAGGTTAGCTGGCTAGGCTGTTCTCGGTGATAAGGGAATGCAGAACTCCTTTATTACAGGCTCCTTTTTGCTATGGTTCACAGGAATCAGAAATAACTTTGCCAATATTTTACCACTTAAAATTCTTTTCATCTAGTGAATTCAGCACCGATTCCCTCTAGCACTCAATTCACTGACTTGTGGGGGTGGGACGTTCAGTTGCAAAACACGTGACCAGGTATAAACTAGCAATATCATCACAAAACAAAATAAAAGCAAAGAACTTCTCACTATTCACTATTGTGTTTCACATTCTACCAGACAGATGCAGTGTATCTTCTACTTGCGTGACTTTCCCATATATTTTTCAATATCAGAGAGTCAAAAGCTAAGGCAGGTATTTTTCTTCAAAATAGTACAGTAACACAGGCTGAAACGCTGGTACATGCCCAAATAATTCTATTGTCCCAGAAGGGAATGTGCATACAAACATCTGAACCATAGGTAATTCATATACAACAATGTGCCATAAATCTTAAGACAAAACTCCAACTTATAACCTCCTTTTCTTGCACTCCTCTTTTCAGAGCCAGAAAATATGACTAACCTTTAACACCCAAAATATAGAAATGGTACATACCAAAAAAAAAAAAAAAAAAAAAAAAAA